GACCAGTTGGGGTGAGAGTGAGAGAGAGAGAGAGACAGACAGATGTACAGCAACAACAGTAGCAACCTTTGTACACAAATAACACAAAATATTAAAGAACCTCCCTACAGCCGGATTTTGTTAATTAGCTCACTTGTAAGTAACTGGTTTTCTGACGGCACTTCAAGTTAGCTTTCCAAATATGAACCAAACAGTGCAGCCCAGCTTTCACACCAGTCATAGCCTTAACAATGACACCACCTCAAAATGCCTGTTCTCCTCTCCTTGTGGCAAAGTGGCCGAACTAACAGCATAACCTGATTAAGAGGGCTCCCTTGGTGCGAGAGAGAGGATGTGTCACTTGGTATCTAGGACACAGGCTTGATTTTTCGGGTGCAATCTACCCCAGAGACCACTACATACAGTATGTGTGACACATACATAATTGCGTAGTTTGGGCTGCTACTGTAACTGCAGCAGCATTTCTATGCCAGTTTTCTCACATTAAACAAAATAAGAATTAAAATTAAGATTCTGGAAAATAACTACCATGTGATTTGTTCAACTAAATAATGCAGGTGATACTTCAATATTTCTGCATGTTTATTGAATCCACAGCCTCCCTGAATGTCCTAATGTTTGTTTTTGTGTGTGTGTGTGTTTGAAGGTGGCCACAGTGCCGTCAGCCCAATCATTACGTCTCCTGGACTTCAGCTTCAGTGACTTTGACTTGTCAGACACAGAAACCACGCTGGGTACTATCCGCATGTTTGTCGACCTCAACCTGGTCCAGAACTTCCAGATGAAGTACACGGTAAGAACCTGGGCTGTTCTTAAAGCAGATTATATTATAGCATTTTCCATTGAACTCCATCTTTAGATCGTCTCTGTCCATCTGTTCTTTGGACACGTTGGTCCACAGCAAGAGATCTTGACAAATACTGGACAGATTTTAATGACATTTTCTGTAGATTTGTCTCCAGAGAATGTTCTCAGGGCACTTCATGACCTTTTCTTAGGCACCAGAAATACTAAAAATCAAATGGGTAGATGATGCCAAGAAATTTACTGAGCACAGTCATACTCCCCAGATGGTGAACCTTTTCACTTTGGGCACTTCATGACCTTTGCTCCTGCCCCATCCTCAAGAAGAAATGTTAACTTTGAAAATAAAAGATATTTAATATTTTTCAGTTATAGTTCATTTAGTGAGCACGTTCTTGAATAATGAATAAACCTTATTGATTTTGATGACTTTTTCTCTAGCGCCACTTGGTAAAACAAACTTAGTCTTAGTCCTTAGTATTTAAGAAGATAATTATCATCAATTTGTTATATATCTGTTCAATAATAATAATAAGAATAATAATTGTTGGGTGTAACCAACATTGCAGCCTCTAGAGGCGACCAGTAAAGCTTGATGCATTTAGTCTTTTGTGTAAAATATGGTGTGATTATAGAAGAGTCAGTGGTTCTCAACCTAGTGTCTGGGGACCCCTAGGGACTCTTCAATGGGTTCCAGGGGGTCCCCATTAAAGTGGGAAATATTTAAATATCACTGTTATTTAATTGGCTAATAGTTATGTAATAGCTCAATGAGAGAATATATAAGAATACTTTTGTTTCACACTGTTCACTCTTAATCTGCCAATCTACAGTACAGAAAGTGAACTCGTCTTAAGCTGGCTAAACTGTTTGAGGTACAGGCTCCTTATGTTTAAAGAAACCAAAACAAAAACCTACACTGCAGGCCAAATTATCATTCACTTATACTGAAATGTTGTACATGAGCATGGGTAGTGTTTCCAAAGACATATGCCCAATATGTATGGTTTTGGAGACAAGGTCTGCATTACATTACAACAGTAATATTATGGCAGGTATCATGGCAACACAGAAACCACAAGGTTAGAACAAGACATTATCCACATTACCCTGACACGACTGTTGTTGTTGTTGTTCTCAGTGCATGTCATGGAAAATGACAAGAGCAGCTTCCTGTTTTATTAATTGCAGAAAACAATCTGCTTCTCATTGTCAGCAGCATCAGACCATTAGAACATCAGTGTGTGTGTGTGTGTGTGTGTGGGATGATGAGTGAATGCATTTACCATTGAGTTAATATTTGTGTGTTTGCCTGCATCCTTAACTCAGAGACCACACACGCACACACACACACACACACACGTACACCTAAAACACTTCACCTCCAAAAATCACTCTGCCTCCATTACCGCCGTCTGTCAGACCCACCGCTCTCCTCGCCCAGCTCCCCCACGGCGCTGCAGCACCGCCCGGGTCGCTGCCGGGTTTGGCTCCCATCCTCAGCACGCTCTCCACGTGAAGAGGTCCTTGTGTGTTGGTGGCTGACCTCCGGAGTGCCTGCGGAGAGAGGCCTCATAAAGGGAGCCTTTGATTGGAGGAGATTAGGGCCCTCCAGCAGTGCAGGGGCTGTCAGTCTGACGCTCACACCGGGAGCTGACACTCTGACCACCCCGGAGCATCACAGCCTGCGGGTTAAACTGTACAACATGTTATTACTAAATTACTTTTCATGCTGGAGAATCAGTCATTATAATCTAAGTGTAATGATCCCTGTAGAGAAAATGAAACATAATTTGAGTTTTGTTTAATGGCTGTGTGTTCCTGGTGAACATGTAGTGTAGCAAAGACTAACAAAGAGCAGATCATTGATTTGCTGGCAGGATGCTGTGTTCACTTTGAGAAAGGGCAAACATCCTGACAGTCATCACATTTGCTTTTTATTTCTACTGCTGTTAATTTACCCCCCACTCATAATGTCTTTTTTTGTTCTTTTTTGTATCCGTTAGTCATACAGTACATGTTTTGTAGGGAAAAACAATGATTCCAAACTATTAAAAACCTAGAGTAGAATTAAAAAACAACGTATAGTAAAAATAATCCCTACCAATTATGGTAAATGGTAAAGGGACCTGTACTTGTATAGTGCCTTTCTAGTCTTCCGACCACTCAAAGCGCGTTTACATGCCACATTCACCCTTTCACACACATCCACACAGCGATGGCAAAGTCCATCGAACAGAAACTAACTCATTTATA